AATCAGGTTTCGATACCCGTGGTAGGCACAACCCAGATATCCAATTGTGTTGCATTTTGCTTAACAACAAACAAGTACTACGAAAATATAAACTATTTGCTTAATTCTTGGTCAATAAAAGACTCTTTAGTGATATATTCCACAAACAATATTCAAAATATACAATGTCGTTATCGGATGAACTGATATTTAGATTGATTTAAAAGAGTCTAAATGGCTTTAAATTGCTGTTATTTTTCTGTGCTATAGCCTTTTCTTTTTTGTTTGTAGTTAAGCACAAAATCACTTAACGAGCTATCTCTGATGTGCCCTCTACAGGTATCGAAATCCGGTTTTTAACGTTATAAGCCGTGAGACTTACTGCTGTGCTACTAAAGGGCCTCTGAAATATAAACCACAAACAAATAATTGATTAATATTTTTAAAATTACATTTAAAATATAATGAATATTTTAAAAAGTTTCTTGACCTTTGGCCCCAGTATTTCAACATTTAAGAAGCCGCCTGAATGGAGTAGTGGTACGTGGAAATCAAAGAGTGACGTCAAATTTCCACAGAGTGGTCCCAGAGGGAGAATAATTCCATGAAGTGCCACCAGGTAAGGATAGTTCCAAAGTATGCTACTAAGGACCGGATAGTTTCATGAAGTGCCACAAGGATGAGGATAGTTACATGACATGCTCAGTGTGTGTGTGGTGTTTTGCTACAAAAATGTGCTATTAAAGGCAGACAGTCAGATAGTCCGAAGGTGTGTTACTGGAAGGGACTAATTCCAAAATATGCCATTAGGGGCATATGTTGTTATGTGATTCGTTTGCAAACCATCAGATGGTATTGCTGAGGCTGTCTACATATGAATGTCAAGTTGTGCAATGTAGAGTGCCACCAGATGGTGCCACAGTAATTTGATGTCAACGTGTCCTAGCTTGTAATTAAATCATAATGAAATTTGTTTAATGACCTTTTTTTATTTCACAATATAACATTTACTGAAGCTACAAATATGCACCACGTGACACTTCTTCAAATATAACTAGAGGTTTCATTCCTCACTACTCAGTCTAATCATCAATCTGATGGTCTTCTATAACATGGAAGGAAGAATGATAAACCAATGTGTAAATATAAGTACATCATAGTATTGTTTATTTATAGAGTTACGAATCTTTATTTTTCTGCGTCTTTTTTATGCATAATTATAAACTGTGTTTTCTGTCATTATTATTATTATTATCTTCATATATAGCATTATTGTCCTTTTACTAATCACTATATATGTTATAAAAAATTTTAGTCTACTTCGGCTAGGAATAAAAGAAATGTTACTGGATCAATCTGTGTCTAAAGAGTGATCCAGTTAAATTTTTCAGGATCTATTGAGAATACTTTCTGGGATAGTTTAAAGAAATGTACTTTATCCAAGATTTGTCAGATGTAATGTGTAATTGTCCTACATTTGAAGATTTTGTGATTTAAAAAATTTGAATAGTTATCATTATCAATAAAAAGGGTTCTTACAAGTTGTTTCAATGTTGTTGTTTTACAATCTTTTCTTACAATACAAATCTGTTCATTTGGTCTACAAGAAAAGATATATCTATTAAGGGTGATTTCACAGGAAAATGTTTGAAACAAAATTATGAACAAACAAATCGTCACAATCTTGATCAGATTTAAACTTAGTTAATGGTTTTCGTTTAGACTCATGTCAGCAACGCTAATATATATAATACACACAATACTGTCCAAACCAAGACAAATAAAGACATTTCAGCACTTCTCTATTGTAAATCCACGTTCGTCAATTCTTTACGACGAATTTTCTTTTTCGAAGTAATCGGGAGGTAGTCCATATGTATCAAAATATTCTTCTTTTTCATGTCGAATAAAGTACATACATACCTAATGTCTGCCTTATTGATGACTGGGATCCAAATTAATGATGTAGGTCTGTTTCTGTTGCGTGATCTAGTAGTTAATTACTGGCAAATACATCGCGATCTTGTCTCTTGTACGTTAATCTTGGAATATATCGAACAATCTTTTATGGTGTCAGTGTCATTTAAACGTGTATATATATTAAATTGATAACAAACTTACAGGGTGAAGTACCTCGTTGAAATATAAGGTTTTATTAACCCACAAGCGTTCCACACGTGAAAGTGTGGTCACAATGATGAGTCTACACGAAAGGAGAAGAGAAAGCCAACTTCCTGGGAAGCCTGCTGAACATTTCCTAATACAATCTGTAATTGACTGAATGTCCTCGAGTTAATCAACTTCCAGCATCAACTCTATCCCGTTCATATCACAAAGAGTAAACAGTATCGTTGAAGTATGAAACAGTAGATGTTATATTTAACTGAGTGTACAGTATTGTATAAATACACAGCATCAAGAGTTGCTCTGTGCATTTCCTAAAGCAATACTTACACAGACTGAAGGAATAATTGTCAGATATAAAATTTATTTTATCGGACGTATTTGTGAATGTGTTTTAAAGGGTAACATTTCCATAACGAACATCTAAAAAAAAACAAAAACTTAGTCGACACACATCATTATTGAGAGAGTCGACAGTCAAGAAAGCTTCTAATACAGAAAGGGGGATTTATACCATTACTTGTAGCTCCTATACTTTATCATTTGGTAGCTTCGCAGGACATGCTATTGGAAAAGATGCTGGAATTTTAAAATAGGGAAACCTCAAAATGAGTGATTCTTTTTCCTGAAGAACTGGTATACTCACTTATTAACCCAAGGTTTATGAAAAACCAGAGTATGAAATATTGAACTCAATAGTTCACGAAATGTATTCTGTCCTTCAAAATGACACATTACTCACAGATGATAAAACGAGGGTGATAAATAAGTCGCAAAAACTCATCAAACCCTTCACCCACAAGCCATGGAACCCATTAAAGTCAAAACGGAATTGTCGGGTCGTGAAAATTTAAACATCGTAAACAGCGTTTCTCAGAAATATAAAACAGAAAGCTGAAATCCTATTAAACAAAATCAGCTCCACTGGTGATCTATCATGGAATGATCGGATAGAATTAATGTTTAGTGGAAGACCTTCCCCTGACAACAACAGGCAATATGTTCGACCTGGTAAATGATAGTATTTCAATCCTACTGGATGGAAATAATTTGCATATCAGTTACCAAATATTAATATTTCGCAACAGCTCTTGAGAAACAAGACAGATGGCAGCACTGAAATCAAACAATAAATAAAAATTATCAGGGCCCAGATGTGTTATATCTAATTGAGCTCATTTTAAATAAAGTATCACTGTATTATTTGTTCATTTGTGTATTGAGTGTCATAATGGATTGTTGTACACTCTTTAAACTTAGTAATATTTTGAGATGACTAAAAAATAATCCTACTGTTAGAGACAGTATTGATGGTGCACCAAATAAAAGTAAGATGATGTCATCTACTCGGGCGTATTATCTACTCGGACGTGTGATGTGGATCAAGCGCTACACTCTATTGATTATAATCTTAATACACAAATCAGTAATATACAAATTTTCAAGAAACAGCGTAATCGTTTCAGGGATAAATGAACAATAAAAGTAGGATGATGTCATCTACTCAGACTTATTATAATGTGGACGTGTGATGTGGATCAAGTTATACACTCTATTGATTATAATATTAATACACAAATCAATAATATACAAATTTCCATGTTGGTAGAAAAAGAAAACAATCTGAAGAAAGAGTATAAAATTTTACAATAGATGTTACTTGCCTTGACATTATTTACTATGTATATCTTTTTAAAATTATAATATCCCATCGTGGAGGTATGCTTTAGGTCAATTTTGTATAATTAATAGCGCTACCAGGGGCTTTATACTACACCCTCAGTTGGTTAGTCTTGAATAGGTACTCATGATATTGAAACTCTATGTTATAATAAGAACTAAATAACTCTGAGGAACTATGTCTTGAATGGGTAGTTATTGTGTTTGTTGTTGCAAAATACTGGGAACAAACAAAACCTTCCAGTATTTCATTAAAATTGCTTAACAAGGATTATTCATCACTAAATTATTAATAGGCCCGGCATAGCCAGGTGGTTAGGGCGCTCGACTCGCTATCTGCAGGTTCGAATCCCCGTCACATCAAATATGCTCGTCTTTTCAGCCGTAGGGGCGTTATAAGTTACGGTCAATACCACTATTCGTAAAAGAGTAGCCCAAGAGTTAACTAGCTGCCTTCCCTCTAATCTTACACTGCTAAATTAGGGACGGCTAGCTCAGATAGCCCTTTTGTAGCTTTGCGCGAAATTCATAACAAACATAACAAACAAACAAAGGATTAATATATACTGCAGAAATATCAAAGTTTATTGACTTTTTTTGTGTACATTCTACAGGAATAATACCATGAAAATTCCAAAGGAATGAAGTAATTAACCCTTGCCAGCGACGAATACTTTATTCTGGTATTTTGTGATAGGCTAAAACCCTATTGTTTTTAAAAGCGTTCTTGCACATTTTATTCCACAACTTAATTTTTCAATAGGATTGAATTTTTCAGTATTATAGTACATTACTATGTTGTTTAATTTTTACTGAATAATCAAAGGAAATAAATATTTGACGCTCAGAAGAAAGAACATGACATCTAAATTAAAACGAATGACTTCTCCACCTGAATATTTACTTAATAAGCTCAACAACTGTAACTAGTACTATGTCCTAACCATACGACTGATGCGGAAGCCATCATCTCCGCCCTATTGTTCACTATGTAATGTTTTGTCTATTCCCTACAGCTGGTTTTTCCCTCCATAATAATAAAAATTATCTATATATATTTTGAAACACAATTGTTTATTTCTTCGTGATTTTGAGAGAGCGCTAGAGATTAAAGACAATTTGAAAGATAAAAACAGTGTTCTGACATTTGGAGTTTTATATTGACTAAGTCAATTATAGGTAGCGCCACCAGTCTCTTTTTCCCCGCCTAATTTGACAAACGGCTAAAAAAAATCAAGTCTGCTAGTTATCAACTTGTTCTCAGTAGTTAGTACCGTGGTTAACGATAATAGCAAGAGCAATAACTATTATTTCTTTTGTTCTAAGTTCTACTAAAAACTGTAGTTGAACTTTTAATGTGGTAATTTTTAATGATAATTATAATCGTGCTACTTTTAAGTCAATTCCACATTTTTTGTTTAAGTTAAAATTAAGTTGATCATGTCACAAGAACTGAGTGGTTTAATTTCAAGTTGTAAACTATAAGTATAACTGTAAACTAAAGTTTAAATACTAACTAAAGCACCATGAAAAATTAGTTTCTCTTCCAGATTTCTTGAAAAAGTTGATGTGATGATTTTATTTCTTTCATCTATTTTTGTTGTTCATTCTATATAAGGCTTCAGAAGGTGGCTGCTTAGACACTTTAATTTCAATAAACAAATATGTTGTTAAAACTTCAAGAAAAAAGAATACAGCTAACTTCAACCCGTATTAGCTCTCAAAAGTCACCATAATATTAATACAACTTTATTTGACACCAAATTGTCATCAAGAAATACAGCAAGAATACCTTAGATGTGGAGTATCATTTCATTGCAATGACATATAATTTAAGAAAGCATTTTTTATGTACTAGAAAACAGATAAGTGTGGAGTCAAACAGTTACTTTTTAGTCGCAGTTTATATAACAGCTCTTGATTTTTTTTTTTCTTCAAGTACAAACTTTTAGCTCATAGCTCTGTCATCTCTTGACTGATTTGAGATGTAAGTACAGTTTTGGACTCAGAATGTCAAACCCTTTAGATTGATGTATTTGGCCATGCCCAAAGTCTAACAGATTAACTTGCTCTAATCCTGCCTAAAAGAGTTTTCAATTTGAGGGTAGGCTGGTAGAGATCGTGATGAGTAATAAAATCAAATCAGGTATACACATGCCCCTTGCTTGGTATTGCTAGTGCACAAAAATATAGCTAATAAAAAAGGAAAAAATGTCTCTCAGATTAACTTACTCTAATTCTGTCTTAAAGAATTTCAAGTGTTGCAGCTATTGAGGATTTCCTTTTGTTTATGGAGCATCTAACTATTACTACTCAAGAGTTAAGCTGTTCATTACATCAGTTCTCACTAACCAGAAAAGTGGCATCATCAAAAGTAAAACTTGAGTAATTGTAAGCTTAGTACTAAGTTACTGTACTAACTCAGATTCAGGTGAATAAAGTATTTTAACTGTAACTAAAAGTACTTAATATTATAGAGAAATATACAGAAAAATAAAAACATGGTGATTAGAATTATTGAATGTATAGTTTAATATCTTTGCTGCTGATCATAATTTTGGCTGTTAAATTGGGAAAAATAATTACATTATTATCATATAATTTTATGAGTGTAGAATGCTTGCTTGAAGTTTAGTTATAACATTTCAGTGCTTTGGCCAAGGTTTTATGCCCATTAGTTACCAATGTGGATGACTGATGTGATTTTTATGCTAATATTGTCCATTGTGGCATAAAATTGAGGCCTAGATCTGCAGTTATTACACCTTGAACAGTCTGTTGGATTTTACTGTTCAGGCTATGAATCAAATGACATACAAACAAATATTGAGTTAAGAAATTGATCACCCACTTCTGTTTTCATGTTGACATTTTTGTCTCTTATTGTTTGCAGAGAAGTGAGGTAACATTTTATCAACAATTTGTTTTGGTGGCATACACAAAAGAAAGTATTTAAGCAAAATTTATAAAAAAGCTTTGTTTAGTGTCCTTTTGCCTTCCTAGTGGGTGTTATGCAAAATATGATTAGTGATATGCTTTCATTGTCTTATTTTTCAGAAGTGGTCCTAAAACTGTTGGCATTTGTGTGAAATCCGTAGATAGTTTCAGTGATTGATTTGTCATTCATTGGTTGTACTTACTACATCAAGATAATCCCAAAAAGAAATGTACTCCGAGTAAATATTTGTTTCTCATGGAAATGTTTTCCTAAATAGATTAATAGAAGAACAAATAAATGTTTGACTTATGAAACAGTGAATTCTACTTTAAAATGGAGAATAACTGAAGCTTATAAGCTTGAAACTCATCATTGAGAATAATATTGAAGAGTGATTATGCAAATTTCTTGACTAAATACTTCAAATTTGATTTGAAGGATTTTTTTATTTGCATTACCTGCAAAATCATAATAATTTAGTTTAGTGCTAGTGCTTTAAGTGATTTTGAAGGAGCCTAATTAACTTGTTTGCAGTTTTTTTCTGATTAAGGTAAGGAAGAGATTTCTGAACTGACCATTTTCTTTAAGAGAAAGAAGGATTTCTCATTTAGATTTTGTGTATGTTGAGAAGCTAGTAGTTCTAGAAAAGCTTGAGAATAAGGTTCCTGACCTTGGTATTGATAACATCTTAGGAATGACAAGGGGCCTCTTGGTATCAAAGATATCAAACACCCATCTGCCTACATATCCAGCCCTGACATTCCAAGTACATGTCAATACCCTAAATCTTTAAAGATGCTTTAACTGTTGTTTTTCAGAAATCTCTTGAAATGTGATTACAATTTTTAAAAAAGGTTGATCTGGGAAACTATAAGCATCTAAGTGTGACTTGTCTTGTCAGCAAAATGGTTGAATCTTTCACTAGATGTAAGAAAAGTAATTAGATAGTTAGCAGTTAATTAATGATTTCAAGATAAAATTTTATAGCTGTGTAATCTAAATCTTGTTTCAGTATCCTGTTCGTTAATTGATATATATCCAGACACTTGTTTCTACCAAAAATACTGTTTTCAGTCTTATTAAGATCAAAGTAAAATAGGATGTAATATACATTTTTCATTGCAAATTTTTATCTTGGAATACTTTGTACTATTTTATGAACTATATCGTATATTCTGCTCTTAGTTAAAATTAAAGAAGCCAATAAGAAAGTCTGAGATTTGTTAACTTTCACAAAGTTAGCACTATCTTGATTTTAACATTGTTCTTTTTATATAAACCCAAATTAATGAACTTACACATGCAGTAGAAGTAATGCAGGTTTACAAACTCTAATTGTATTACCTTTTAATTATTCACTACTATTTCCCCATTTTCAAATATTAATTATGCTTGATTTGGGTTTAGGACAATTGCTGCCAGTCAGAAGAACTGAATAATCCAAATTCTTAAAAGAAAACTTAATACATGTACTTAAAAGCAGAATAGTATAGATTTTAAACCAAAAAACCATCTACAATTTTCATTTCCATTAAGTAATTATTCAATAATTAAATTGCTAATAGCCAGTGTTATATGATAACACTAATTGCATATAACTTGTAAAATTAAAAAGTCAATATCTAAGTACTGATTAAAATGCTAATATCTAATGATATTACTGTAATAACACTTACCATAGACAATGTGTTAAATCAGAATGAAAGATCAATACCTTGGTATATTAGAACAATTGTTTAAGTGTAGTATAATTAGAGGTTTACAAAATTTATTGCTTGGGCAAATTTTACCTTGGAAAAGGATTAAAATAATTTTTTTTTCTATAAAAAGCAAAAATAATCTTATTTCTATTAGTCAAAAGTTAACCACAAAAAAAGACAGCAGTCTTCCTGCTCAATAACATTAACTAATTAATAAAATGAACTCAAAGAAACAGCAATAATCTACAACACAATAAGATATGGAAAACAAAATCTAACCATATGTATAAGCTATGTTGTACAGTAATTGTGGTGTGTAACTTTGTCTTAGACACCACATTCAAATACATGACACTGACAGCAATTATGTGGTAAAATATATAATTAGTAACTTCCTTGTATGTCCATAGATGGCAGCAGTATTGATATGAGCATAATGTAAATTTGACCAGACATCAAATATATCTATACTTCTTTCTGGTGAATCGTTTTCTACAAACATACCTTTTTCTTGAGATATGTCACCAGAAACAAATTTCTAGCTTCATTTAGTAGTTGGCATGAGTTGCTCTGAGTCGGAGCCACTCGTAGTGAGTACTAAATCTCTGAGATTGTTAATTAAATTATTGTTTACGGACATCAATTAATAGAGCAAAGATCTAAGCATCATTTTAAGATTTCTATTGTATTATAGAGTTTTTATTTGTGCATGTTTTGATACTGATTTACCTATAAAAGAATTTGTCGTAAATGATTTGTTAGATTTATGGTGTGTTGAGATTATTCAGTATTTTATGGTTTCATATTTCCTGTGTGATTAGTGGAGTTCTAGGAACTGAAGTTTTTCTTCTAATTTTGATAAAGTACTTCAGAGACATGTTCTGTTTTTACTCGTAATTATTAGAGAATGAAAACAAATTGAACAATTTTAAATTGGAGACCAGTAAAATTTTTCATTTTAGGTAGTACTGTCTAAGAACTCAATGCATTATAGGTATAAAGCCTTTCTATACTGTAGTAATTGAAAAATAATTACCTTTTTTCTTTTCTTTCCTAGTTAACTTGTATCATGGGAGGAAGCAGAAATGGCCATATTATTACTGGCACGCCTATTGCAGTGGATTTTTGGAAAATTTCAGAATGTTCGTTTGTCAAGTTGTTTTTCCTAACCCATCTTCATGCTGATCACATAATGGGACTGAGCAAGAGTTGGTGCTTCCCCATCTACACATCTCCTGTCAATGCTAGCCTGCTCCCATTGAAAGTTACAGGTGTACGTACATATTTGGTGTCATTGTTATTTTTAAGTACATAAGTTGTTATTGTTATTTAAGCTTGGTTGTGAGACATAAGAAACCCTGGAGGTTAGGGCACTCAACTCGCAATCTAAGGGTCACAACTTTGAATCCCCATCTCTGAACATGCTCATCCTATATGGTTGCTAACTGGGCCAGCCACTCAGGTGTAAAAATTTTTGGCTTACAAATACATTGGCTGACCACAAACTACTTGGGATTAAGATCTTAAAAGGGAAAAAAAAGGAAAGGATGATTTTAAATATTTTTGTCTTAAAATGTAATAATTTATAATGTAAAATGCATGTACATTAGGGCTGGACAACTTTTTAAATGATGAAGCTATTTATTGGTCATTTTGAAATAGACTGTCACATCAGCTGATACACACACATGCTGTATGATCTTGTAATTTTGAAAGACTAGACTAATGTTCATGTGTCCACAAAACTCCTCCCACTGTTTAAGTCTGATTTGGATGAAACTTCAAACAATTTTTCAACATCATAAGGGGAAGTTCCTAACCAAGTTTCATTACAATTGGATCAGAATGAGGATTCACACATAGGATGATATATGTGACATTGTCAAGAACTGGATCGCCTAACCACACATTCATACTCACAAAAGAGGCAGATAGGAAAACTCGCAAGTTCTTTAGTCAGTAATAAAATTTTCACAAAGTTTACTTATATTCTGTTGATTGAGATTGTCATACTAAAGTATTTGAGCAGAAGGCCCAACAATGCTTTCAGCAGGAACTAGTACAAATAACTGCCCTTAGGGCAGCATTTCTGCTAGTTTTGGATATAATCAAAAATTTTGTGTGGGGAACTTACAAGACAGAATAATGGCTGAGTTTTTTGTCAGTTTGTGATCACAATAAGGTATTGTTGCGTCATCGAGGTCACGTGACTGGTGTGGCGCCCTCTAGTTTCTAGAACTATCTTGTTCTTTCAAGAATGCTCTAGTATTTGATAGATAGGGTAGGCTGGTATATAAAAGAGGGGAATGTAATGTGTGTATGGATAGTGAGTAATTGATCTGCAGTCAGAAGTATTATTGAGCACGTTCGTTGTTATAGCGTTTGTTTAGCGCAATTGTTGAAGTTGAGTCGAATATAACTTTACCGATACAAAAGAATAAACCAGTTTTTATTAAGAAAGAACTTGTGTCGCTTAAGTTTCGTCTGAATGAACGTCTCCGGTTGTTAATTAATTTTCCGTAACTAACAAATTGGTG